ACAGCAGCGCGCACAGAGCCCATAGAAATGCATGTACAGTGGTGCGCGTCGTAGCAACATCTTGTGACTAGCTCCCCCCACCCCGGATACCCCATGAATTATCAAATTTACTGTAACCAACTTACAATACATACCAGCTGTTACTAAATTGAGACTTCCACTTGAAGATGCAGTTGACATCGTATTACATGCCTGTGTTATACCGCCAGATACAATAGCAACGGGTCGAGCTACTGGTGGAGGAGGGGGTGGTGGTAACATTGTCGCAGGGATGAAACCTGTAATTTTTGTTGGACTGGGAGAATGAGTCCCTTTAGCTTGCTGAAAAAACAAACACGTAAGTGATTTAATCATTGCACAAGTTTTGAACTGGATGGCAGCAAAGCCTGAAATGATGCTAATAGACATGAAAAGCAAAAAAAATTTTACACGAATTGTGTAACCTAACCATTGCCAAGCAGTTAGTAACTGTAGCTTACATTATGATAGAGCAGATCGATTGGCAGACTACGAAGTGAAGACGGTACAGATACAGGTATGAATCCAGACAATTGAGCTGCAGTGCTACTTGTTGTGGGCACATCATTAGTAGATTTAGTCAGCTGTGAAGATACAATTACATGTTACTGCAGGGTTAGTTTTTTTTTTTAAATACCAGTGCAGCAGTAAAAAAAGACATCATGCTGTACAAATCAGTGAAGCAGCCAGGATTTTTGTTTTGAGAGCTAATGTCTAAAACTCATCAAACTTTCACAAATGTGTGTGCATTTAAGACACATTTTGAAAGAAAAATAGCTCAGACAAATATTTATTAAAACGAAAACAGTAAATTGTGCTCCCCTGATTATCATAGGTTACCAGACAGACAGTGCGGGGTATACGCTTATTTATATACAGTATATTTCGATAATATCATTTTGGACCAAATGGACTTAATCTTCTATTAGTTACATGTCTTTATCAAAATTTTGAGAAAAAAAAGTAAAAAGTGTAAAATTTTGTTATGTGAATGATGACAAAAGTTGATTTTTAAAAAATTAAAATACAATATTCATGGACGGAATTTGTTATTAACTAACCTGATTTTGGGAGGCTTGTTGATTTGCAGCATCTTGACATACCAGTTGTACAAAGTCCGACAATGGAGTATCTGTATGCGACGGTGGCACGGGCTGTAAACGATACTGCTGGTAATAGCCTGTCGGCTGGAAATCACTATATGTTGTCGCTGAGTAAATAAAACACAATGTTGTTGTTATTATTATGGTAGACAATCAAAAAGACGTAGACAATACTTTGTTTTATTAACAACTCAACAGAAGGGATTTGGAGACATTTCAGTAGCATGAAATGATGTGTCTCAAGTACCGTAAAAACTCACCTACTCTAAAAATTCAACCATCTAATTATTTGGCGGTTTTTTGTAATTTATTGACCTCAAAAATTTTGACCTCACCAGAAATTGTTCACTTATTTTTACTCAAATTTGTTTAAAGACATGACTTTCTATAACTATTCTATTTCTGCAACTGTATATAACCCAACTTTTATATTTGTTGGATTTTTACTCTCAAAAAATCCACTGGCTGAAAATTTATCACTATTTTGTATTCTAAAAACCCAACTGTTTTTTAAACGCAATTATTTAAAAGTGGTCGAAATTTTTAGAGTTTTTTGGGATACTTTATATTCTGAGGTAACGTTCTTTGCTGCATTTTTTGATTTTTACTCTTATCTATGTAAAAAGTAACATGTCCTATTTGATATGGGACTCATAGAAAACGTGTGTAAAACCTAATGTTCGTTTACATGGAATTCAAAAATTCTCTGCACAGCGATCATCACCATTTAAACAACAAAACATGTAAAACTACAATATGGCTTTGTATTGTACTTTTCCTGAGCATAACTTCTGAGTCCTTCCCATTCATCACTTAAATTCATACTCATTGATTGGCTCATTCTTTGTCAGGACTAAAATGGAAATTTAAATCGCAACTGGCCTCTGGAAGCAACAACTAGTCCATGTTTAGTGTTGTTGTTTCTTATTTCCTGGATGTTACAAAGTCAATACCAATTGTTTAAGTAGATGCAAAAAACAAATTATACAATTGCAATGTAATCATGGATAATGTAATCTTTGTTATTGTATTCTAATAGATATATTTATTATTATTTGTTGACACTTTGAAGTATATATTGATGGTTATAATGGTTATTACCTGGTATCCGGTTACTTTGTACTCGCTGCTGGGCATCAAGTGTAGACATGGGTTGTGGAGCTGCGGTTGTGTGTGGACTATGTGCTGGATGAGCTGATGTCTGGGTAAAACTACTGGCTTTTTCAGTCTTCACTTTAGTGACATGTGCAACATTAGGAGACGGCATGGCAGGACTAGCTCCTGCTAAAAAAAATGACATATCACATTAATATTCAAACCTAAAACACAATGCTAACTAAGTGTGTGTAACATATAGCCACTTGTATTTCTATTACAGTCGCATGTGTGCTTATTACAGTGGCCTGTGTGTGTAGTACAGTGGTCTGTGTGCGTAGTACAGTGACCAGTGTGCGTAGTACAGTGACCTGTGTGCGTAGTACAGTGACCTGTGTGCGTAGTACAGTGGCCTGTGTGCGTAGTACAGTGGCCTGTGTGCGTAGTACAGTGGCCTGTGTGCGTAGTACAGTGGCCTGTGTGCGTAGTACAGTGGCCTGTGTGCGTAGTACAGTGGTCTGTGTGCGTAGTACAGTGGCCTGTATGTGTAGCACAGTAGTGAAATGTGTGCATATTATAGTGGCATGCGTGCATACTACTGTGGCATGCGTGCATATTACAGTGGCATGCGTGCATATTACAGTGGCATGCGTGCATATTACAGTGGCATGCGTGCATATTACA